TTTACATTTTGCATATGAAATGTATGCTGTCGGCCCCTTAACGAACGAATTATTTGCTTTGAATTACAAATCATTGTGTTTTAATTAGCATTTTTCATTTTGCATATGAATGCTATATTTTTATTCTGTATAATAAATTCGGCCACTAAACGAATTACTATAAATTGAGACATACATGAAAGCGAAATCCACAAGCATCAAATCAAAAACTTGAAGGATGTGTACAGTCTGGAATATTGATGATTTGGATGTAGCTAATTTTGAAGTTCCTTTTCCTCCTGACCCATCAGTAGAAGAATTTAAACCAAAAGAAAACGGGGAGATGGTGACCAAGTGTAACAAATTTTTTATTTACCGCTCTTACGTAAATAAAGTGTTGGAGCGTAGAGGTATCAAATTGAATGGTGGCGGTCAAAAGTTTAGTACATTTGCGAAGATGCTTTGGACTAATGAACCTGAAGATCAAAAAAAATATTACGGGGAAATAGCAAAAAAGCGTTGGAATGCTCAAAAAACCTATTATGAGAAAATATCGAAAAATAATGGAGAAGAATCGACAAAGCTAATAGGATCACAAACGTTGACCAACAACAAATTAACCACCAACAGATAGAATACATGTATTCCCCTTTACGTTGTACGTATGAGGAGTGGACTTTGATTTGGATGAATGCTAACAATCAATCAACAAATTTTCTAATCTCTTCCGAACATAACGAATATCAATTAATGAATTCTTCAAACTCACCTGAATTTAAACAATTAAATTTGCTTTCGAACGAATACCCACAATCAATCCCCTAAGAATTCTCCATAGATGATCTCTATTCTGAATGATAGATTTCTCATAAAGTTTTGATTTGATTACATTTCTTAAAAACCTTTTCAACAGCAACACTTTCAAAAATTCCACGATATACAAATATATTATAAATAGATTTTTTAAATTTTCTACGAAATACAAACCTATTTATAAAAAATTTCTTCATATATAATTTTAAATATATTTCTTACAAAAAAATTTCAAATCTCTTCGTATATAAATTTTACAAAAAAATTTAAATTTTTTCATCAAAAAAATTTTAAAATTTCTTCATAAATTATCAAAAAAAATTAAAAATTTATTAAAATCTAAAAAATACTATTCATATATTTAAATTTCTTCATAACTTTCAAAAAATTAAAATTATTAAAATCTAAAAAATTCTATATATGTAATAAAAATTTCTTTACAAATTATCAAAAAGAAATTTAAAATTCATTAAAATCTAGATCATTTTATAACTTGATATTTGGGATTCGTTACAAAAAAATTTGTATAGCATCGTCATCTAATATGCTATTCTAATCAAAGCATAAAGAAAAATTTTTAAAAAAAATTAACGCATGATATAATACGTGTATATTGTTATTTTGGCAGTTTAGAAAAGCTCTTGACGTCTGTAACATTTCTTTCAAAAAATCAATCGTTTAATTGTATACATGTTAGGAATTAGGTGAACTATTTATATCCAGAAATTCTGTTTGATGAAATTTGAAGTAACGAGTTATTAAAATATGATTGCTATATTGTATTATATTGAGACGCGGCATATTTTCGTAAAGCGAGTTTACTTCAAGCATTAAAAGATGAATTGGACAAACAAGCTCTAAATAAAAAATAGGGATTTGCTATCTTCTTGTCGCTTGATTTTGGATTTAGTAATTTGTCTTTAAATTCCTTTCCGTTAGGTTCTAAGCAAAATGTGTGCTCGCAATTTCTATATTTAATAGATAGATATATCTTATTATTTTTAAGAATGACAATTGAAACAAAATCATCCATGCTTTGTTAACGATGAGAAAAGACCAAAACAACTGCTTTATATTGCATTTTGTTTTATGGATATTATTTTATTAGGTGAGTGTAAGATATGTTATTCTTTTTGCTAAACCTCGGATTACTTTTTCCTTTCTCAAATATCTTCTAAACAATAAATTTTATCGAAATGAAACAATGTATGATTTTTTATAGAAAGATCCTTGCCTTCTTCAATTTACAAGCAACAACAAATAATTAAAATATCATACTGAACCAAAATAGCAGATAACATTACCACGCTTAATAATGTAGCAAATAACAATATTAGCAAATAACAATAACAATTGCTCTGATAAAACTACTCTTGATGGTATCGATAGTTCCCAGTATGAATACTAAGGCCGCCCTATCCCTTTATGTTCGATGTAGAAGATTTATTTAAAAAGAATGATTATAATATCGTCAAACATTAAAAACTGTAAATTCATATTTCATTTATCGAAAGGCTATGGTGAAGCAGAATTAAAAGGGAGGAAAGAAATGTGATATGCCAACATTATTCAAGATTGCTTCTATATTTTGGAAACAAGAAGAAAAGCATGTAAAAGATGCATATAAACAATTAGCAAAAAAAGCTCAAGATCTTTTCGCTAAACAAATCGACTCGCTACAAGCCATTAACGCTGGAAAGGGTTTAGGATTTCCTCAATCACAACTGCAACCACAAACAGCAGCTGTCCATCCAATCAGATTGCCTTCCATCCCCCACGATCAATACAAAAGAACACCAATAGATACGAGTCCGTATCATCATCAAAAGCCAAGATTTAATCCGATTTAAAATACATGTAGTCTTAGCTGAAATTTAAACATTAATAATAATAATCAGCTTAATCAATCGATGCTTAATCGAATTAGCCAAATCTTTCATGCTCGATTTGACCAAGTCTTGCATGCTCGAATTGATGAACTCGTGCATGCTTCATTATCAAACATAAATTATAACGATATAGTTTATTAGTTTTCGCATTTTGTTCCATGATCACGCCATAAATACACATAACTGTTCCGACTATACTGTAAATAAGCATCACCTAATATTCTTCTAATTTTATTAAGACACATATTCGAACATTTATTTTTATCAATTTCTTTATGGCAAATGATTTCCCGTTAAACGAATATTTCAGAACATTGAACAGCAATGTTACATTAACTAAAGACACCTTTTTGAATCAACTGTGTATAATTGTAAATTTATTATTAATTAAAGTTTGTATGTATAACTTTCTAATAAATTTCGTTTTATTTAACAATCTACATACAAAGTTTTATGCAAAATTTACAGCGAATCATCAATCATAATAACGATAATGATTATAATCTTTGCTTGGCAATAGTCCTCAAATTATAAATACGCATTAATGTGAAAATTCATTTTTTACGCGAATTAACGTAGATAAATGCAATTTTAATAAATTCGATAATGAAAAATCTAATTGTCGCTATAACAATATTACATGTAACTGGCTCCAATGTGTACTTAGAGATGTGCCTATGCGCATTATGCGCATAGTTACTAACCGATATCGTAAATGCCCACACACAATTATGCATATGGTTAAGTTCATAAATCATCACCAATTAAAGGCATTTGTACTCAATAAATAATGATAAACAAACATATTTATACCGATAAGAACATTCGTATCTACATCTTTATTGTTGAAGTTCTATATGGGAACATTTAATCAAATTGGTCATATTGCTGGATTTCAACCACAGCATACAGAATGTAAATACTGTGAAAATCCCAAATATTAATGCAATAATTTAGTAATTCAGTGTAAGTCATATCTGCGTGTATGTTCAAATACCTCAATTGAAGTTAAATGATCATTTTTTGGTATGAGCTTTGAAAATCCAGAAATCGCTAATACAAGTTCACACAATGCCAATTCTTCTAGAAGTCAACTTATGCAATACAAAGCAAAATCAGATCTTTTCAGTAATACATTAGCATGGAAGTGCATTGATAATACTGATCCAATTACTTGGTGAATTGCAAATTTTGCACAAGCAGTGCCTGAATTAACACAATTAGCACAATGTATCTTAACAATTCCAACATCATCTATAGCTTCTGAATGTAACTGGTCAGCTTTTGCAATATTCATAACAAAAAAAGAAATCAGTTAAGTAGTAAGCACATTTTTTAAATTAGTTTATATTTATAGTAATTATAAATTACAAACTCCTCCATATAATCAAAAAAAATTGTCAAAAAAAGCATTAATGATGAAATAAGTGTCAATTAATATTATGCTGGTAATGAGAGTG